ATCAATATTTCGAAGAAAAATTCCGAAAAAATCGATATTTGTAATAATTTTTTTTTTGAAATTTCAACTTTTTTTCGAAAATTTTGAAAATCGCCCAATTCTGATTAAAATTGTCATGACGAACTAGAATGGCATGAAAAGCATAAATCTGTTGAAAATTATCGAAAAAATCGATTTTTGAAAAAAAAAATTTGGATTTTTGGATTTTTTTCGAGAAATTTCAAAATTGTCCGATCTTGATAAAAATTGATATGACGGCTTAAAATAGGCTTATAATCAATATTCCAGAAAAAAAATGCCAAAAATATCGATTTTCGAAAAAAAAATTCTGAAAATTTCAGCAAAAATTTTTTCGGAAAAAAATTTTTTTCTTAGTTTTCTGGAATTTTCAGACAAATTTAATGATTTTCAGCTCCCCAACGAGGAACATTGCTCATCTAACATTGTCTACGATGTAAGGACCCTCAAAGAACGCTTGGATTCCACCAAGAAGACGGTGATGGACGATGAGCACTATTCTACACCGTAAGTCGGTTTAAATGCCAGAAAATTGATATTTCGAGCTGAAAATCGAGTTCTAGGGGTCCGAATTGGTCTAGAAAAAAAAAAAATTTTTTTTTTTAATTCTGAAAATGACGAATTTCGGGATTTTTTTCAAAAAAAAATAATTTCGAAAATTTTCAAAAAAAAATTTTTTCAATTATCGATTTTTTTCGAAATTTTCAGCTAGAATATTGATTTTCAGCCCATTTCAGCTCGTGATATCAATTTTGATCAAAATTGGAGCATTTTGAAATTTTCCGAAAAAAATTGTTTTCAGCCAAAATTTTTTTTCAAAAATTATCGGTTTTTTCCAGATCAACGTCATCTGCGGCGCCTGTAATCGTCGTCGGGGACGGTGTCTCATCTGTAGACTGTGTTCGACACTGTCTGGAGCGTGATATTCCAGTCGTTCATGTGATAAGGAGGAATTTGAGAGAGCTTAGGAGTAAGTGCGCTCCATTGATAAAATATCTTTTTTTGGGTGAAATTCGACGAAAATAGCAATTTTTAAGCTGAAAAATCTGAAAATTTACGGTTATTCGGACTAGAAATGTCTGGAAAATCGATATTGGGAAATTTTTGAAAAAAGTGAAAATTTTCGAAAAAAAAAAGTTTTTTAAATTTTCAGTTTTTTTGGAAATTTTTTCTGAAATATTGATTTTCCGTTGATTTCAGCCTGTCATATCGATTTTTATCAGAATTGGACCATTTTGAAAGTTTTTGAAAAAAATGAAAATTTCCGAAAATTTTTTTTTTTCAAAAATCGATTTTTTGGAATTTTTTTCTGGAATATCAATTTTTGGGTAATTTCAGCGCATCAAATCGATTTTTATCACAATTGGACCATTTTGAAATTTTTGACAATTTTCACCACCCCCCCCCCCCTTAAACGTCATTTTCGAGTCATTTTCCAGATGTGATGCTGTCCCGTCTCTCGCCAATTCACTATTCCGAGTACACGGAAGTCTACCGTATGATGATCGGACGCTCCGCCCACAAAAACTATCAGCGAATCCTAGACGCCCAAATTTCGTCAATTTCCAAAATCCATGCGGAAATCACGACTGGCGCTCAGGAAATCATCGAAATGCCGTATTCTACAGTAGCCGTGTGCATTGGAAGGGAATCTCATTTTTCTACCGTGTTCGAGACTCCGCCCACTTTCCTAGACTACCGTAGCCCGGAGGATGACACGTTGTACGGTGTGGGCGCCTATGCGGGCGACCATTTCGTTCGATTTCTGGTTGGCGGGTGTCTCCGGGTGGCGCAACATATTTACGCCGGTCAAACTACAGTATGCATCAACAACAACAATAAAATTTGAGATTTTGAAAAAAAATTTTTTGGACCAAAAAAAAAAATTTTTTTTCGAAAAATTTCAAAATGCTCCAATCCTGTTAAAAATTGATATCACGACCTAAAATTGCCTAAAAAATGAGGTACTGTCAAGAAATTCCGAAAAAATCGATTTTTGAAAAAAAACATTTTTGAGATTTTTCGCCAAAATTTTCAAAAAATTTTTTTTTCAATTTTCGATTTTTTGGAATTTTTTTTTCAGATTTCTCATTCTCGAGCCATTTTAGGTCGTTATATCAATTTTTATCAGAATTGGAGCATTTTGAAACTTTTTGAAAAATGCGATTTTTGGACCCAATTTTCTCTATATTGTCACTTTTTGATTATCTTTACATGTACCTTTTTTTTTTTGATGACTCTATTTTCTGTGTATTTGACCCACTTTCCCCATTTCCCCCATGATTTTCCAGATTTTTTCAAGAATTTTCCATTTTCAGCAATATTTCAAAAAATCAATATTTCTGAAAATTATCAATTTTATGTGTACTTTTCTTATTTTCGAGTTTCCTGTTTTTTCTACGAGATTTTTTCCACAGATTGCGAGCTTCCCGAAAAATGAATTTCTATTTTTTAAAGCCACTTTTTAAAATGAATTTTCAGAAAAATCGATTTTTTCAAATTGATCCGATTTTGATAAAAATTAATATGACGAGCTGAAATGGCCTGAAAACGAGGAATCTGAACAAAAATTTAGAGAAAATCAAAAGTTGAGAAACTTTTTTTTTTGGAAAATTTACCATTTTTGAAAAAGTGAAAAATTCGAAAAAAAAAGTTTTTCAGTTTTTGAAGTTTTCGAAATTTTTTCACAAATTCCCTTTTTTCAGCCTGTTTTAGGTCGTGAAATCAATTTTTATCACAATTGGAGCATTTTGAAATTTTTCGAAAAAAAAGTGAAATTTTCGAAAAAATAACTTTTTCAATTCTCGATTTTTTCGGAATTTTTTTCTGGAATATTGATTTTTAGGTCATTTCAGCTCGTGATATCGATTTTTATCACAATTGAGCCATTTTGAAATTTCAGTCTTTTTTTTGAAAAAAATCTTGAAAACTTTATTATCATCAAGAAACATATAAAAATCACAATTTAAAGCATATTTTTCAAAAATCAAAAAAGTTATATACATCATTAACGTCCATGGTGATGATGGGCACCATGGTGCCCATCATCGGTACCATTTCCATGTCCCCCATGACCCTCATGGGAGTGCTCATGGCCGAAGAAAATCTGCATTAGCGTGACCAAAGCGAATCCAATGATAATCCAAAGCAACTGTTTTAAATGATTGAAATCATTGGATTTCTCGGAAGCCATAATTTCAATAAACGTCACATAAATGAATGTTCCAGCTGCCAGAGATTCTAGAAGCAGAATTGCACAGTCCTTATAGATATTGGTTTCGGAATTCTGGAGAACCGATCCGATAATGGAGCCCATTGGAGCCATAAGACTGTAGATTAGAATGGTGGCGAGTACGGTTTTTATCTGCAAAATGTTTCCTTGAAAACTTGGGATTTTTTAAAGGCGCATATCTCAAAAACTACAGTACTTATCCAAAAGTTATCAACTATAAAAATGTGTGACATTTAATGCTGACCAATTTTGTAGTTTACAGCTTTTTTCTAGCTACAGTAGCTTTTCAGATATGCGCTTTCAAAGAAACTTCCCAACACCTCCCCTTTAAACGATAAAAAACGGCACCTAGGCGCTCTCTACCTTAAAGGCGCATAACTTCAAAACTAGCTAGAAAAATGTAGCTAGAAAACAGTTGTCAATTACAAAAAAGTGTCAAATTTTGTGTTGGGCAATTTTGTAGTTGACAACGTTTCGCTAACTACAGTAGTTTTTGAGATATGCGCCTTTAAAGAAAAGGCTCCCCAGTCCCCGATGACCAAAGCAGCCCCTAGGGCGTGCGCATACTTTAAAGGCGCATAACTCAAGAAATACGAAAGCTAGAAAAAAGTTGCTAACTATAAAAATATGTGACATTTTATGCTGAAGAACATTATAGTTGAGAAATTTTATCTAGCTATCGTAGTTTTTGAGTTATGCGCCTTTAAAGATAGGGTTCCCCTCACCCCTACCCTTGGCGCTCTTTACTTTGCGCATAACTCAAGAACTACTGTAGCTAGAAAAATGTTTTAAACTACAAAAATGTGTAAAATTTTATGCTGAGCAATAGTGTAGTGGACAACTTATTGATAGCATTTTTGGTTTTGAGTTATGCGCCTTTAAAGTTAGGTAGCTTTTTTGATTCGGGGTTTTTTAAATTGAAATCCATGAAGAACGGTTTTGACTTGAAAACATCGAGAAAATCAAATTTAGGCGTTGAAAACTTGAAATTCTAACTGTCTACCTCGCAAAATGAGCTCGAAATGAACCTTGGAGAGACGCAGAGAAGCGAGACGCTCTAGCTTCTTTGTGCCCTTACCTTCTTCCTTGCCCTGGAAGCATGTGCCCACTTTAAAGGCGCATAACTCTAAAACTACGGTAGCTGTCAAAAAGGTTACTAACTACAAAATTGGGAAGCGTAAAATTTCACACATAATACAGTTTTCAAAGCGTTTCTAGCTATCGTAGTTTTTGAGGTATGCGCCTTTAAAGTTGTCTTCCCTCTTGCCGAGACATTGCGACTTCTAAGCGCCACATCTAATTTCGGCATTGACAGATCCACAAACTTTTCATACCAATTTAAAGGAAATTTTAAGAGCTTCAAAATAATATACATCAGTATTAGTAGAATTTCAAGTTTTAAATGGAAAATCGGGATTTTCCTAGATACGGTTTCTAAACGGGCAGCTAAATCCCTCTAGCTAAAGCCTAGCTTTCAAGACACTATATCTTTAAAACCAATTTAGCTACAAAAAAGTTGACAACTACAAAATTGCTCAGCATAAAATTTCCAACAATTCATTAGTTGAAAATTTTCAACCATCTCTTCTCCTTCCAAAGTTATGACCCTTCTAAAATTTCCCATTTTCCTCCCCATTTATAACCGCCATTCACTTCCAAAGAAAGGGTGTGGGGGTATAGCTCAGGGGTAGAGCGCTCGCTTTGCATGCGAGAAGTCTGGGGTTCGATTCCCCATACCTCCAGATTACTTTTTTCTTATTTTTTAAAGATTATTGAGACAGTTGGGAGGAGTGAGAGACCCAGAGAAGCTAGATTTCTCTGCGCTCTCCGCATTTCTAACTCTCTCTAACTCCATAAAGCGTATGTCAGCTCCCAGAGGAGCTAGAGCAAAACTCCAATTGATAACATGTCCCATTTTTTTCGACAAATTCAATTCTGCTTAAATTTCTCTGGAATTTCTCACTTTATTCGAGTTAGCCATTGAAATCTGAAGACCCACTGAGAATGCCTCTACGCTCTTATGAAGAAGTAGAGAGAAAAAAAGGGCATAAATTCGGCCAGTAGTGTCTTGAACGCCAAGGGCAAAACCTTCCAGAAGCGAGTGGAAGGACATGGCAACGGCAAAAGTTAGGGATTTGAGGATGTTGGACTTCTCATCAGACACCACCCAGGTTGATGCTTCTTCCATGCGGAGGCTGAAATTTCTCTTTTTTAGGGTCTCAAACCCGTAATTTTGAGATTCAAAAGCTGATAATGAGATTTTTGAGTTTAGCAGATTTAGATCTTCAAAATGAGCCCAAACATGACTAGATTCCACAATTTTTAAAAATTGTCTTTTTCAATTTTGAGCCATAAATCGCTTCAAAACGACCCTTCTCTCCCTAAACTTAAATTTTTGTGCTCAGAAGGTTTTTACCTTCAAAATGAGCCCAATAACGACTAGGCTCCGCCCATTTTAAAATTTGCGCCTAGGCACGCGACGCACGACCGCGACGCGCCCTAAAAATCAAAGTGGGCGGAGCATAGTCATGTTTGAGCTCATTTTAAAGCGCACAATGAGCTGAGTAGAACTATAGCAGTTTCATAGTGCGAAAGTTCAAGTTTGCAAATTTTCAGAATGTTCGAAAAAAAATGTCTTCAATTTTGGTTTGGGACGCATAATTCCTTAAAAAATTGTACAAAACTTCTGAAACACGCATTTGTAAACTCAAGGAGTCCTGAGGTTCAAAATGAGCCCAAACACGACTAGGTTACGCCCATTTTGAAATTTCGCCTAGATACGCGACGCACGACCGCGACGCTGCCGAAAAATCAAAGTTACCGAATCTAGTCGTGTTTAGGCTCATTTTGAAGCTCTTAACAAGACAAATCGATTAGTATAAATTTCGATATAGGGAAATGTATTTCTAGGCCACCAGGGGACAAAAAACTCGGCCACCCTTTTCAAAATGGTCCAAAACCCTTCAAATTTGCTGGAATTTGCTGGAATTTTCTGATTTTCTTAAACTAACTTCGTAA